ACCCGGTTTTTTGAGGCTCCTAAAAACTTGCTCAAGATCCGCGAAAACCGCTTTTGTAACAAAAAAGTGATACGGAAGCTATCTTCGCATGTGCGTATCTCAAAACGGATTTTTTGACCGAAAATCGCCATTTGTAACGGGGCCCTTAAAGTTATCTCAATTGCTGGATTGGTTTTGAGCTGTCCTTCAGGGAGAAATTATGCTTCCAGCACTGAAATTCTCGTTGGAAAAAGATAGTTCCAAAATTGCAGGAATCTGGATATGTCTCTTTTGTTGTGTATAAAAAGGCGAGGGCTTCTTATCATTCCATTTTTGTTAACCTGTTAGGAAGGATGCAAAACCGGGCATGTTAATAAATAAAATAATATTGTTCACAGCACTCGTTGCTATATCTCATGTGTTAAACCGTTCCGGCTTTAATTAAAAACAAGATTATTCTTTGTTATCAGAAAAAAATGTACCAGTTGTGCACAAAAATGTGCAGCATTTCTAACGTCTACCTAACTTGTTTTTCTTTCCTGTTCAGTTATTATATTATTTATTGCCTTGCTGATTACTGTCTATTCTCTCAGTTGTTTGTTTCCATTCCGTTTTTCTCCGTCAGTTTATATATCTAATAATGGGTATAAACACTCGCTAATGCTTCTTAATATTAAAAAATTCATAATTCACTCGAAAAACATCAGAACGAATTTCAGAATGTAGTTATTTGTGTTTATTTAGCAAGATTATTCGATCGAACAAATTAAAAAAGCATGTTTCCAACAAATTTTCTGCAAGCTCTGCCGAAAAACGATGGGATTTGTAAATTAGTTTTTGTGGATTTCTTACAAACAGAATATAGAACAGCCTAAATACTTTACATCCTGAAGTTTTCAATTCGGCCGTTTCTGCATATTGCTCAGAAATATTCGTTTTTCTCTGCGAGCAAAAGGTATTTTGAGAAAAGCAGAACGTAGTTTTGAAGAGGATCATCTGGCGAATCTAGTCATGTAAAAATTTTGGCTTTAGCTCCTCTAGGAAAACCTGTGTTAGGTTGTCAAATTTTGTGTGGCGCTTTAAGCCGTACCTGTTTCAGGCACCGTCAAAATTCATCTTTCGGTCTGCAGCTTTCAGAGTTGCGTCTGTAGACTCAGTTTTCCAAACTGGATCCGAAAAAGTTTGGTTCAAGCATTGGGAGCGAAAATATCACGGCCATTTTTTTTGAAAACTTGCTTTTTTTTTATTTGTTACCTCGAATTTTTTCGATGTTTCGACCAGCAAAAAGTCTCCAAAAATCGAGGCACATATATTTGTGATCAGCTCGAAATTCTCTATCGAATAGTATATAAAACGTCGAAAAATAAATTCTACTGGAAGCTTGCATTCTGCGTATCTTAACTGCAGTTGAACTATTGGTACAGCTAATTACTTGGTTGTAGTTTTTACTCTTACTTTTAAACTAGGTGTAAGATCAACATACAGAATTAAATTTTACTTACTTGTTTTCGATCGTTTGTCATTTGCACAACATCAGCGTAGTAATGATCCATCGTCTTTTTGAATTCCTCGAAATTGCTGTGTTCCAAGTCGTCAAACACTCGACTGAAAAGAAATCGAACAGAGGTAAAAAAATTGTAGTTTGTATTGTATCTAGAACATACTCTTTATCAGCATACACTAGTAACGCAGAACCAGATATACTTGAGTCGTATCGAGAACATTGATCAATGATAATTGGTCTTACTATCTTACACGGTAATGGAGGTTCAATTATAAATTCGCTTTTGGCGGAAAAAGTGACGTTTGCCTTAGTGCATGCAATCTGTTTTTTATTCTTCAAGGCTTGTTGATAATCGATTGTTTCATCTTTCTGCATTTGTTGAGATCCCATTGTAGTTTTATCTGCTTTTAAATAGTGTTGATTATCTGATCTATTTTCTAAGGAAGCAATCATCTGCAAACAGTTGGAGGTTGCTTGTAATAGTCTAGTAGCTTCAGTACACATTCGACTAAAAATAAACGGCACAAAACTAAAACATTTCTAGTTTTGTATTTCACCTAACACATATTCTTCATCACATTCACTAGTAACGTCGAATCAGATATACTTCTCTCCAGAAATTTTGATCACCGAGAATTAGAAAACTGGTCACTTTTGCCTCGGTGAACAGATTGCCGAGAAAATTTAGCTCTATGCATAAAATTAAATCAATAGGTCGGTAGCATAAAGTTTATAATTTCATATTAACTTTTCTCTGATGTTGACACAGCCTATACGCTTTTTTTGCTTTATTCTTATGGCGCATAGCAACGCTTCTATTGGCGCCATTAATACAAGTGTTGAAGTGTCACTTCAAGTGAGAGACACTTCAAAGTGTGTGCAGCAAAATGGGAGGTTATTTCCCCCTTGGCAGTGACACATATTTAAACATTTGTATCTCCGAATTTTGTTATCCATGGTCATTCTATTAAAAACCGATATATTCATATTTAGGTTCACCTCTTCATATTAAAATTTGATGACTTCGCAACTTAAAATTCCAGTAAGTAGAGAGGTGTCTATTTCCACTTCTTATACTAGTTGGAAGTACACATACTATATACTAATGTATTTTCTAGAAAAAGATCCTTTTAGTTATTGAGATATGTGACTCTTAATATTGGATGATTTAATAAACCATACTTTCTTTTTTTATATTAGGCAGCTAGATAACCTTTTTTTTGACTACCATGACTTTTCGGCTTTCTCTTCGGGTCGTGATAGTTAGATAGCGTGTTAGCGGTTAACTGGCCATACTTGTCTTATTCTCTATTTATAACACTAACCAGTAAGTATCAAGTAATTTAATATTCTTTCACAATTCAATGTTTGTGGGTAGAAAAGGGTAATCCTAAGATTTTAAACTGCGCGATCCTTCTAATATACGGATATTGACCTATTTTAAAAAATCAGCATTTGTGACAGAAAGACTTTGACTTCACTAGTATTTGCTGCGTTTTCCCATCAGAAAGGTCCCTTTAATAAAAATAATATGCTATTCGTCACTTACGTGAGAAACAGCGTAGTATGTAACTTGTTGCAGCAATTCCTCTGATGTATTCGAAAATGATTTTTCTTCTTTCAGACTTCATGCAAATAGGATGTATATACACATTTTTTTTCCTTCTTCTTGTCTATATGTATATTAGTATGGGTATCGCATGTTTAACATGATTCCACTATAAAAAATAAATTTTTTGTTAGTGGAGACAAATTCGAGTTTCGCACATCGCCCATCAGAATTCTATCACTCGAACAGATGCAATGAGGAAGTTTTTGCATGGCAGATAGATATCAGAATCGTTTTACTTATCAGTCATGTTCCATCTGTAATTATCTCACTAGTAGCCAGAGATCCTCCAAAACACAAGGTGAAAGTTTTTGAACAAAATTCCTCTTTTTTGAAAAATGATTTTTGAGGAGTTACAGATAGAGGATCGTGTAGTAGTTCGAATTCATACTCGAGAATCAAAGGTGTGATAAAATCTCGGAGCAAGTGTATTGATGGGTTCACCATAGGGAGGGGTACTTTCTCTTTCGTTTCCAAAAAAAGAAAAAGAAAAATTGACTTTGCTTTCTTTTGGCAAAGGAAAGCTTTTTACTTACCCGATTTCCTTTCCCAAAAAAAGTATGATATAACTTTCTTTTGTGTTTTTCTCGATGAAAGAAGCACTTTATTGGAAAATCAAGCCCATGTTCGTAATCAGCGTCGAAAACTGGATCAAGTGATATATTTTGCGAAAAAAAAAATTTTTCGGCAAGTTTTTGCAAAACGCATCACTTGATTCGGTTTTCGGCGTTGGTCAATACCAGAACTAACATGCTGTCATAGACCGACGTTCCTCGTTGTCTTCTTTTGAACAAAAGCTGTAGATTTCTATCACTTTCCGTTCCCAGAACGAAAGGAGGAGATAGTGGTATCATGCCGCACATGCGATACTAATATTGATAGAGAAAAGAAAGAAAAGAATGTGTATATACGTCTTATTTGCATCGCGTCTGTTTAGCAACAAGAAAAAATTTTTTCAACACATTAAAGAAACTGATGCACGACGACTGTGGGATTATACCAGTGAATAGTAACTAACGGCTATGGCTCTCAAGTGGGTTTGTCTGAAAAGAAGACAGAGAGAAAGGGAAGGAGTGAAATAGAAAGAAAGAAAGTAAAGAATGAAACAATGTTTTTTGTAATTTTTCAGTTCAATGTTTTAGATCCGTCGCTACTTCGACGTTAGTTATTATCTTTGTGAGCGTAATTCAAAAATAAAATAGCGAAACAACAGCAACCGCTTTCATAGTAGTAGCGTGGTTACTATATATATAGTGCTCACTTGCAGTCGTCTGACAACGAAAAGAAAGAATTTAGGCAATTAACCGTATACTTTTGGCACTATCCTGTAAATTGAACATCTTTAATAGTAAAACGGCTGTTCTTTAATATTCGGCGCAACTGTAACCCATTCAAGAATGATTCAGCTTCGGTCTTTACACTAAGCCCTGGAGGTGTCAATAGCCCTTCGTGACACCTCTGATGGTGGTGTCAATAGCTCTTGCTGACACCTCTTAGTGGTGTCAATAGACTCACCCATAATTCATTTATATTTATTTCTACCTTTACTTTTAAAAATAAAGGCAGAAATATAGAAATAAAGATAAATGAATCATTTACTTTTATGAAATCAGAGCAGAGAAGGAAATAATCTCATACTTTCTCGTAGATGTAAAAGTGAAGAATCTGATTTATAACTCAGACATTCACTGCACGGCATTGTTAATGAGTGGCTGGATGGAGGTGGGGGAAATGTGTGACGAGAATGAGTTAAGTAGGAGTATTGCACGTGTTAAGATTGCTGGTGTTTATCAAGAGTAGTTATATATAGCAGTGATCATAATTTTGCGTAAGATTTGCTAGTTCGAAATTTTATATTATATCGATAGAACTAGAATGAAAATAACTTCGAATATAACACAGTTGCTATTAATAATTGAGCATACCATAAAACAAGAATTCCATTCTGTTATACCATTGCTGATAACCTGGAACAGACAAATGTAGTAGATCAGCTGTATATAATTCTGGTTTAACTTGAAGATGAGAATTCTGAAATGAGGAAGTCATATCTAAAAACCCAATCCAGTAACTATCATCAAATATGGATATAATTGCATTAATTCTGGCAACGTCATCGCTTATCCACTGAACATTATTTCTCGATAATACACCTAACAGTAACATTCTTGTGTTCGGTAGCATTTGTCGAATATCTTGAACAATGGTTTGAACGCCTTTGGAAATATCATCGGCTGTGGCACTACTTATATTATTCGTACCGATTTTTAATACCACTAATTTTGGACTGAGGCCGGTTAATTCGCCATTATGAATTCGCCAAAGAATATGTTGTGTTCTATCACCATCGATTCCATAATTAACTGCTCCACGCGATGCATAATGCATATTCCAAATATTCCTCGCTCCATCGAGCCAACGTTTGGTTATCGAATCACCAAGGAATACTACTCGAATCCCATTCGGATTCGATTGAGTTTGTTGTAGAAAAGTATTATGATGATCGAGCCACCATTGCTCACGAGTTTCTTCTGCCCATGGTTTTGCAGCGAATGTCAAAGTTGCTAATGCAATTGAATAGAAAAGTACGAAACGAAACATATTTACTGTTTTCAAAGCTAAAAGAATATTAGTTTTTGCCCTATTGAATATGCTAACTGTTGATTCTATTCACATTATCATTGCAATACATTGCAAGTAGGATAGAGATGAGACGAAATCATTACGTCATTCTTTTTCGTCCTATACAACATGTGACTATTCATTATAGAGACTTTTTGTCCCTTTCGTCTATCGTATATATTTGTTCTGCGAAATACGAATATCAGAAGAACGGAAAATTTTTTCTTTCGTTTCTTGCATCTTGCTTTTTCATATTCATGTAAAATGCGAAAGTAATGTTTGCCTTCATACTATAGGAAAATAAAGAAAATCACAGAGAAGAACATCATTAATTAATAACAAACAAGCTACCTTTTTTGTTTTATTTTATTTTCTTTAGCAATGACTCACATTGTTTTCTATAGATCAAATGTGAGAATTCACTTTTGAATAATATATGAAAGTGCCATGTCACTTTTTCGTATTACAAAGTGGCGAAAGTAACGAAATAAAACAAAAGTCTTTTTCATTTTCTTATGCTTTATAACCCGTCACACTTTATCGACAAAAAGAAAAGAAATATATACTACGGCTTTCGTATTAAACGAAAGCACGCGAAACTTTTTTGCGCCAAATTTTATGATATCCTAAATATGTCTGTAATTTTTATCGTGTTTTACTAATAGTCTAATTTAGAATTTTAATTAACCACATATGAATTAAATAATGTTTTATGAGGTCTTGTTATGCAACTTTTGGTTCTGAATCGAATGAAAAAAAGACGAAGCTTCTATCATGAAAAATAATCGAGATATTATGGATATTTCTATTGCGCGCACTGTAACATATTTCTTTGACAAAAAGTGATCATATTTCAATTCCGAACATTGCTCGAAATATGTCTGGCTTCGCACGATATTTGTGATATGCCTGAATAATGCCAAGAACACAAACAGTTTTCAGGTTTTTTGTGCGTTTCGATGCATCATTCTTTATAAATTTTGCAGCATCATGTTTTAAATTTTATGAAAGGGTTCCATGGCTAAAATAAATTGGGAACGCTGAGCTAGAACATTTCCGTCCTCTGTAGGATTTTCTCGAAGTCTGTTTATTGAGTCCTCACGTCTATCTAGCTTGGAAAATGTATAAATAGAAAGTTAAATTTTTTTGGATAATCAATTATCTATAATAAAAACACTTTTTCTATCGTAGATGCAGAGCTCAATCCAACTTAGAGTAGCAGGGGACATGAGCGAAGTTTGAGGTTGATATCGATTGGATAGAACGTTTTATAATTATTTAGATTTGTGTGCACCGCTTTTCATTCAGTTAAACCTTCTTTTTGTTGAATAACCAACTCAATGAATAAACAATAGAGCTGACTACTTTCTAATTAAGTTCCCTTACACTGATAGACTATTGACTAAATTTATTTTTGTCTGCATATCGGATAAATATGCCAACACAGGAAAAAAATATCAAGATCAAAAGAAAAAAAAGTGTAACTACCGCATGTTTGACGCTATAGTTGAACGTTGAATTCTTATTGAATTTGCATTTGACGTGATTTTCGAGTCGTAACCAAGCGACAAACGAGGAACATAGATACCCAAAACCCACTAAAAAAAGCAATCCTACGCTATAAATATGCTCATAAAAGCTATGGACCATTATCAATCACAACAGACAGTTAATGTTTGTTTTTTTGGAACAATTGCTTTAATGAAGGAGCGCTGTGTTCGATGGAAGTAAGCACTACTCACTTCGCGCCAACTATAAAAATAAATATCTCTGCAACCGTTATATGTGTAAAGATGAAACTTTTACAAAATGTGTAACTAATATTCATAATTCATTTCCCAAAATTTCAGCTCGATGAGTCCGGGGAAGTCTGCAAAAAAAGTCGTTTTTGCAACCTTTCTCAGAATGTTTGTGAAAGTCTATGATGTGCAATACCTTTTTATGATTAAATAATTCTTTTGATACTGAAACTCTTATTAATAATTATTCTTCTACAGAAAAAGCGCATGATAGAGCTCTTCCCTTTTCTTCTTCTCTGCCGTTCATATTCCTTATTCAATTCGGAATCTGATTGAATAATTCGAATCAAAAAATCTTATTCTTGTAGTATCAAGCATTTATTTAAGAGATAGATCAGTAATGTGTCGCTTTTAATAAAATTCAAAGGCCAATTTTTAGTTCAAATAAAGGCGAGTTCTCTAACACGCAGTCGATATTTTCGCAATCAAAGGCGGTTGTTGAAAAAATTCCTGAAGCCGATTTTTCTGCGGATCTTTGGAAAACCATTTTGGATCTCTAAAAACGGACATTGAAATAGGTCGATCTTTTTCTCGACGCCTTAGGACTCCTCTGCCGTTAGGTTTGGGACTGTTAGAAATGACTGTAAACGTAGTTTATCGACTATGCTGAACCTCGTGGCAATGTTAGTTTCCAGAATAAACTGCAAGAACCGAGTGAAAACCTTTACTATGTGAAATAGCCCATTTCTCGCTTTTTTCATCAAAAATTAGAAAATTCATAACTCAGTCACAATTCATCTAATTTACTTCACAATGTCAGGAAATACTCTATTTTATTCGATCAGTTTGATTCTGTACTTAAAATCAATAAAAATATTCTTTCAGTTTCGAAGGTTTCTTAGAAAACTTTCTAAAAATCAAAGTATTTATTTTGTGTTGGTTTTTTTAACTTTTATTGAGCTTTGCAGTATGCTGCAGATAAAATAGAGTATTTCCTGACACTCTGAAGTAAATTGGATGAATTGTGACTGAGTTATGAATTTTCTAATTTTTGATGAAAAAAGCGAGAAATGGGCTATTTCACTTAGTAAAGGTTTTCACTCGGTTCTTGCAGTTTATTCTGGAAACTAACATTGCCACGAAGCTCAGTACCTAACGGCAGAGCAGTCCTAAGACTTCGGAAAAAACGCCCACGGCACCCGAACCATGGATTTTCGAGCTATTGTTTGGATTCAGTTTTGTAGAGGACACTTCGAACTATATATCGATGAAAAAAATTGACCTATTTCAATGTCCGTTTTAGAGATTCAAGCTGGTTTTCAAAAGACCCGCAGAAACATCGGCTTCAGGAATTTTTTCAACAACCGCCTTTGGTTGCGAAAGGCTAGCCTCAGATGTCTGCTTTTGATTGTTGAAGACCGCAACTTTCTATCTTACTGTGTTATTGAATTATTGACTTATTGAAAAAATGGCAACCTGCACTATATTTTGGAGCAATCGTGGGGATTTTAACCCTTATCAGAATTAACCGAGTTTTTTCGAAGAAAGTGGGAAAAATGTAGGGAAAAGGCATTTTTTTGTGATCCTCTATCACAATAACACTTAACTTGTCAATCACTTTAGCACCGCTTTGATTTTTCTTTCAGACAAATTTTCTTACCAACGGTACAATGACTATGCCATTCACTCATATACATCAGTCGATTCTAAAATAATTAATTCGTTATTAATCGATATATCTGGCTCCTAGTATCAGGTGGATAAGCTGATTTCATTAGAGCAGTTAATATACTTTCGATCAACGACTGATTATTAACCTCATTTTTAAAATATGCGATAAAATACATCAGTTATAAGACAATTAACGGACTATTAAACTGTGTATTCCACGATCAGATTCGAAATCGGATTATATGCTTTATTGTGTCAACGTACGAGAAGAAACACATAATTCCAAGACATTCTTACGCAAAAGCAGCTGTTTAACGATCAAAAACCAACAAGCAAAACCTCTAAAACCACTTAAAATAAGTATCTTCCGTACAAGTTATTAAAACAGAAAACCATATGCAAGTTCTCTTAGGTTTAAGCGACGAAGTGTTTAGTTCAGAAAGGCCGCTGCCAAGCACCGTTAAGTTTCCCATTAACACATATTGTAGAGCTTTCCAAGGCATGGAATGATGTAATGCACTAGGGTAAATACAGGATAGTTTGAGAGAAACTTTCATGTTGCGGTCGTACTAATTGTGTCACGGAAGTATTTGTTTACGATTAGATTTCCTCGGTGATTTCCCGCCGGAAACGTTCGAAAGGGTCGATCAAATTGAATAAGGTGAGTTTGATGAGTTATGAATACATTGGAGCAATAAACTGTGATAGATCGATTTCAAGTCTTATGCACGGAAGTTTCGTCATATATAACAGATCAAATGCTATTTCAAGTACTTTAGCTGAAGAAGCAAGTTGCTACTGTTGTCGATACAAAGCTGCTTAGTAAGAGCACTTCAGTGGAAGTCAACTGAAATAGGTAACGTGTACAAAGGATATGATCTGCAAAAATAGGAAAATATTTTCTCTGTCAATTCTGTATCTCATCTGACAAATGCACATAATTTGGTTAACATTTATTAAGAACAGTGTAGAATAAATAAAATATGCGCGTGTTGATTGACGAAAGTCTCAAGTATGTTAAATTAGATCAAATAGCTTTTGTCGAAAATATCCGTGTTTCTCACATTTTCGTAGCTGAAATACAGGAGAAATGCGTTTATTAATCGAAAATGAACCGAGCATAAGTAGTTCAAATAAGAATAGACACAATGCGAAAACTGTCTGGTTTTATTCTTAGCTGATAAGCGGTGAAATTATGTTGTGAGTTTTCTTTATATCTAAGTCAATGAAGTAGGCATGATGATTCGCTTGAAGGTTTTTTTGTTTTCCATGGAAAGTTTTCACCATTTGGATCACTGTGCAGTTTCATCCGAGCATCTTCACAAATAGTTTCCCCTGAATCACCGTCCACCAAGATCAATGCAGGTATTCCTGTGATGAAGAATCTTTTCGACAATTCATCTTTTTTTTCACGATCTTTGTATTCGAGTGAGAGCCACGGCATGCCATTGTAATACTCTTGATACGACTTTTCATCACGATCCGAAGAGACGAAGATTATTTCTAACTTTTTAGATTCACTATATTTCGTATAGAATTCAGCTAACACGGGTGTGAACTTACGACAAGGCGGACACCTGCAATTAAATAACTGTTGTTATATTTTTGAGCAGAATAAGGAGGATACGTACCAATGTCCAGAGAAATAGAGACCGATGACTTTGCCTGCAAATTGTTGAGAATTCAAATCCACTTTTTGACCCGATTTATCAACAATATTAGGACCTACAATCGATGCAACATTAGCCATTCTTACTTTCTAATGTGATCTGTAATAACGAAGGAAAAGAAAAATACAACAAACGTGCACACATGAATAAGTAAGAAGAAAACGAAAAAAATTATTTATTTGTATACGGTACATAATTGTTGTTATTGGATGTGACAAGAGCAGTCACATCCAAGGGTGCTAGGTAGCTGAAAAGTATTATAACCTTGAAGGACAAGAATGAAAAAAGGAAAAAACATGCGTTTTATCATTGACTACTGAACTATGTTATAGAAATTTTAGAAAATATCAAAATTACAAAAATGATTTGAATCGTCGAGCAAGATTTATATTAAATCAGTCATTATTCTTCATAGTAACAAGTTTATTTTTTGTTGCACGTGCTTTACACACGTTTTAGGAGAGAGGACACTATACATATTATGTGTCATCGTTTTTTTTCAAAAAGAGAGAGATAGAGAAATGAGGATGAAAAGATTCTAGGCTTTCCACGACGCAGTATACAATGTATCTTAAATATAAAAAGATCTCCTAGTCAACCTTTAGCTATAATGACGAGACTAAACATCAGAACAATATGATGGGAGAAAAGTGACATTATTACATAGTTTTGTCGGAGCATATTGGTTGAAAAAAACGGTTATCAAGCGTTCATGACATTTTATCGAGCTTACCAGTTCTCACGAGCAGCGAATGAGTCCAAATCTTTTTTAAAACGCTGGATCATAAGAATACAATCATTGAGTATACGGATCTGTAGGTCACAAAGCCATCAAAGAGTTTGAAAACTTTCGACTAGTAACAGAGGGAGGAACGAGATGAGTTTGTTAATCGCTGATGACTTTATATTATTTGTACAATCTGTAGTATACAATTGAACCATACAGAGTGTTGGTTCGATTAGTCTTTCGCCCCAAAATAAGAGGCTACAAAATAAGACCACTCCCAGTACTCCACCTTTTCCCAAAAAGTTATGGATTTTTGAAGTTTCTCCTTTAAAACCTAGAAAAGCTCAAGTTTTTAGTCTCATAAACTTTTCTCTCATTCTCTGTACATGCAAAATTTTTCTTACACATAGTCTGATAGAAGAAAATGCTTTCTTTACAATGAGACGTTGTACCGAATTTTCCGATGAGTTTTCGCGGAGATATGGGCATCGCGGTACATGCTCTGAAAAAAGTGACCTACGTACAAAATGCGTATTTTCTCGAAACTTTTTTTGCTACCAGGCTTCGTTGTGCCACATTACGACCCGCCTTAAGTTTATCCGGTCGAGTTCAAAAGTTTACCAGAGGTACTCAAGGCACTATTGCAGAGGTAATTTTTTGAATTATATTTTAGACTTTTCTTTACCGAGTTATAGGGTTTCTAAAATTTAAAAACTCGGTTTGTCAGATGGTTTTCAGTATTTTTCCAATAACTCTGCCAGAAAAAGTCTCAAAAAGATTTCCCATAAATGACCTCTGCAGAACGACCTTGAGTACCTCTGGGAAAATTTTGAACTCGATGGGATGAAATTTAAGGTGGATCGTTATGTGGCACAATGAAAAATCCAGTTTTCTGGAAAACTGGTGAACGACAATAGTTGAAAACTTGAAACAAAAACGAAAACGTGCTCCACTGAGTTTCTAATCAGTTCTGAAAATACGAACCCCTAGCGACTTTTAGTTTTTATTTCACAGTATTACTATAGAAAACCCAAAAAGAGGGGAGAAGTACCCTTAATATCATTTGAGCAAATTTTACATGAAATATGGTTGCATATCGCATAATGGATAACATAAATAACATATACATATAAGCATACCCAGAACTAGAGAGCAATTGCGCTGCCCACAAGTTGCGATGTCGACAGATTGTATTCAGACCGAAGCTGCGAGAAGCTGTCAGTCAATATATAAATTTAAAAGGTAGATTTAAGAAAATGAAATGAAAACGAAATTCGAAGAAGAGAAAGAGAGAATTATTTTTCCTCTGAAGAACAAATGGCGCCGAACAACTGAATGTACGAAAAATTTCAAAGTCCAAAAAACATTCTTCCTTCACTTGTGGCACTTATGACATCGAACCGAGAATATCGTACCTTTTCCAGAACTTTTCCAGCTTCATAGTTCTCTAGACTATGAGGTGCACATTTTGCCTAAAAAGGGAACGAAAACAAGGAAGAAGAAAATAAAAAACAAAATTCCCAGCAAAAGCACATAATGTCTTTCGACATAAAAATAAATCAGAAAGCCTTCTATTTTATAATAGACTGTTGAACAAAACTGACCACAAAGAAAACGTAGAATAATAGCTAGTGATAATAAAAAAAGTATAATTATCAATGAAGTTACCAACATAGTTATTATAAATGGATAATGAATTTTTTTTTTTTCTTGCATGTGTAACGCTTTTGCTGCCTGGATGATGCTACTCAACAGTGATGATACTCTTTCTCGGTACTGAGTATACACATAAATTACAAATCCACGCATGCTTAAAAATTTTGTGTTCGGTTCGGCCCGACCAAATTGCGACTTTTATCCAAACTCCGGCCTCGCCCGATCACTCTATACAATTTTCTTGCCCACGCCATGCTGATCACTGATTTTGATATTAATTACTGCAACCGATTTACCGGAATCAAAATATTTCGAGATTAGTTACTGAAATTAATATGTTCTCACATTAATTAATCAGTTTAATCCTTGTAAGTATGTACTTCAACACGTCACATAACCTTACATGTAAATAAAGACAAAAAAACAAGACTTATATAATGAAGATAAAGGTTTACGTCTTGAAACGGTTAAAATTTTATTACCCATTTTTGATAATCAAGACAAGGATGGTTTGATCTTTCTTCCGACCAAACAAACTTTCCCCTTTCTGGCATTGTTCGACAATAGAACTGACGTATATCGGCTAAAAACAATCTATTGGCTACCATACAAGTTGCAATGAATTCACAAAATTTTTTTTATCAGAGAACTTATTTCAGTCGTGTTGTGAATACTCACAAAAGTAAAAATTTATAAAAAAACTTATAAAATATTCATGCTTTTTAAAAAAACACCATCTAGACGACCGGTTGTGGTGATCTCCTTGGTCAGATTTCGCTGAAACCCCCCTTGCCGTATCTGAACATCCTATATCGTCGACCGCAAATGAATGAGATTGGTTATGTGACCGAAGGCGCACGGGTTATGACCAGTTTTATTTTGGACGAGGAGTACGAGAACGAGCGGCAGAACGAGGTCTAGCGGTAGAACGAGAACGAGGACGAACGGCAGAACGAGGAGTAGAACCATTAGTAGTAGCACGTGCACGAGCAGCAGCTAGACGTAGACGAGAAGCACGATTCGAACTGCCAGTACGAGAAACAGCAATACGACTAGAATTAGGGCGAGACACAGTATTAGACGAATTAGAATCAGAAAAAGTAAGATGAGCGAAAAGAAGAGCAGACATAGCAGCTTCAGTTTGAAAATTGTCATCATTATCCAAACTACGATCACTAAAATGATCAAGGTGCAGTTGAGACGATGATTGCGAATTCTTTGATATTGCAGTTGTTCCATCGCCTAAATAAAAATGTTCAGTCATCCTTGACAAATCAGAAGACAGGCTCTCTTGTTGCTCAATTGAGCTATTGACGATGTGAAATAGTTTAGATTTTACAGGACAGCCTGCGTATCAAGGGGAAAAAGCGTACTCCGCCGCTCTAAGTTTAATTTTTTATAACGTATTGTCGTTGTTCATATCAGATGGGAAGAATGTGTATGATTTTGTTCGAATACCTCTTTACCAAGTTTATCAAAGTTAATCACATTGATGAAAGATAAAAATTCAACATTCGTTGAAGGTCTTTTTCGTTTCATTGAGCTAGAACAACATGCGGGTAGAATGAATACACCAATTGGCCTTGCATCTGAAGACTGCACCGGGGTAGTGAGAAAAATACAATATGATACCAGCACTAACTCTTTCATTGGGTTCTGTACTCCACTTGAAAATAGCATTCAATCCGAACAACATTTTAAAACTAATTCAATTGATTAACTGAAAGAGTGGTTCACTAATATCGACTAAGCTCCACTCTTAAATATTCATGTGTTTCAACCGCTAGCTAAATCAATGAAACATCTTCCCCAATTATATTAGCGGCATACGGAATTGAGAGTAAATTTAAAGCAATTGATATTTTTCGATGTTGGATAAATATCTATGAACAATGCTCAGCAAAACAAATTCGTATTATTGGTTTCTCAACAGGTATATTTTGTACACTGAACACAATGGGATCGGGGCTGGGAAGAGAAATTTTTCCAAGATAAGAAGTGACCTCTTTGGGGTGGAATCGAGGTCCAAAAACTTGATCCGACACAACTCTAAACTACTGTTCTTTTGTTCTATTAGTAAATAGATTGCAACAGTAAATATTTATGAGCGATGAAATTGGTTAGGCTTTTTTAGCTGATTTATCAAGTTTAAAACTACGTGAACAACCGGGAGCATTTGAACATGCTGTTCCAGCATCATAGCCATGGTTCTATCTTCGGAAACAACAACTGTTATTTTTCTTCCAAGATCCTACTCTGGAATGCCGGATCATTGAGCGGTGTGTATTCGAGCACTACAAATTTTACTGTGAATGATTTTCTACGACGTGCTTAAAAGTTATCTATTTTAAACGAAATAAAAGCCTATGAACAATCACATCCACATGGAAATGAAATACTGTTTCCTATTCATCATAAATATAAAAGGCATTCATCTAATTTAATTGATAACAACCTTCATTTCACAATAATGAGTATTGGAAATATCGTCAATAAGCGAAAAGTTAATTGTTAAATTGAAAAATGTCAGCTCTATTGAAATAGAACAAAGCATTAGAATTAAATAATTTGAGTTTATACGTACAAAATCATTTTACTAATAGAAATGATCATTCAACACTCGCTAATCAGTATGAATCTGAATCCGATCCGGATAATGCACAATATGGTGATAACAAAAGTGAAAGTGATTGTGGTAGTGAAAATGAAACACAGTTAAATGAGGTATTAAGGACATAGACAAAAAATTTCCCTTCATAAATTTCTTCATAAACCAACAGCGTATTGGTTGTTAACTGACAAAAACACTCCTTTATCATCGGATAGATTGATACGAGTAGTGAAATGAGTAAACATGATTAAAAATGACATCGTGGCACATTCGTTTGTCAAATCTACGATATCCTCTGTAGCTGAAATGAGTACACTGGTGTGTTTTTTTTGTTTGATTTTGGAATGAGAACTGTCCCGAGTGCAAGGTCGTAATTTGAATAACATAGCCGTCTCTAATTTTCAACAAAGGACCATTCAGATCCCGAAAAACCTCAAAGGCTACGTTTTCTTGTCTAAAATAGACCATACAATGAGTATTTTGACCTAATATTCGTAATATGGCTTGTCCTCTCTCAAAGTACGATTGTAGTGCTCGCAGCAGTTTATCCCACAGTGTCGTTTGTTCCTCGGGAAAAGATGTAGGAAACGCTGAAAAAAATTACAAGAACTGCAGATGCTCAATTCTTTGATAGCCTAGCACCAGGTATTCGCGATGAAAAGTATCCTTGTGGATACAAGGACTTTCTAGGGGGCAAAATCGAATTTCATACTGCCTCACATATGCAGTCAAGATTAATACTTTCTTGTGAAACTTCAAAAACAGGCAATGTTGTTTCAAAATCCGAAGTGGGATTTTTTAACCCAAAATTTGGTATCGAGTCTGTCCTAGAGCGATATAAGCCTGTTTCAAATACAGATCCATGCACTATTTTGTGTTGAAGACTGCTTCAGAATGATCTACAACTTCAGTTTGCAGAAGACAATTGAGCGATTGCTAACCGATGAGCACAACGAAAAAAGACAGATTTGGATGATAGGAAATTTTTTCTAAAAGAAGCCACGATCAGAATTCTGGTTTCAGACGAGAAAGCTTTCGATACAGACGAGATCAATTCTTAAAATGATCGAATATGGGTGGTAGATCATGTGGAAGCAGCTGACAACGGTGGCATCATGCAAAAAAACGCAAACTTCCTCAAAAAGTTATGGTCTGGACAGTTTTGAAAAGAAATCTCTTTAGAACTGTAAGACAAATAGTCTTCATTATTTTATTGAATGTTAACTCTTGTTTGAAAAAGTTGAAGTCTGGACAATGAAAACTGAGCAAGATATAAAAAAAATACTGAGGCCGCCATTTATTTCTCTACTCTGAGGTGATTCCGTTCTGGATTGCTCTTAGGATCTATATTCTTATACTCTATCTGTGAACAAAAATACCAGCCTGAGAACCTGATGTTTTTAAGTCATTTTCACGTATACCCCTGCTTTTGCTGCTTACCGGATATTTGCATTCGAGGATTGTGCTGCTCTTGTTGTTGTGTCCCTTTCAATGCTTGTACGATCGCTACTGTGACTTCCATTTGTCCAATGAGTTTTCTATCCCCATTTGCTTCGTGCACTGGAACAGAGGAAGACATTCGCCAAGATTATTCTCTTCAACAGAAGGATGTAACCATTCTCTTACCATCAATGCTCGCCTTAACATAATCAGTACCGTTACATAAAAGTTCTTTAGCATTTACAGAAGCATATCCAATATCGATGCAATCGAGTGTTTGCTTATTGTCGGGCGGTTCTGCAACCACCACGAATCGAATCCTATTACCGAAGGAACAATAATCTTTTTTACATTCAGAAAAGAATGAAACAAATCGAGACATACTCTCCAGATGAATGAGGCCCAATAAATTGGTCTTTCCATTTAGAATCACGCATCGAGCAATCTTTCAGATCAAACAAAATGAAACAAAAAATGTTTATCATATTCCTAAAATAGATTTATATTCCTATGTATAAACGTATGGAAATTATATCACCTTTTTGAAAATTGAATGTATATGTAGTATATGGCACTTCTTTTGGTAGAGAATATGGTGTTTCAAGTTCTTCCGATGGATAATTGAGAAATTCAATGCTCACATAAATTTTTTCATAATCGTTATCATCAAATATAGAACAGTGGTCATAGAGAACAAGATCATGTACACCAAGTGTCACTCTATCTTCTTGTTTGTGTATAATTGGTAACGGTAAAGCTGAAGTGGGCCATAGTCTATATTGCAAAATGAATTAGACAATTATTATTCAGTCCTTGGCCGAGCTTAGTAGTGCTAATTTCTCGACAAAGGAGGGAAGCGGATAAGGCGTTTTTGTGACCTCAATTTTTTTCGAATAAAAACTACATGATTGAAATCAGCATCAAATTCTGAACAAAACTGTTGCTTCAGATTTTCAAAAAACTCATTTTCATTTTTTTAAAACATTTTAAGGCTGAGGTCCGCCTTCGTAACATCCAAAATTTTTTTTCTTGACAGTGGTTACGTGTTACATCACTAGACGCAGACTTTAACGCTAATAACGAATGTGAGGTCAAAATCTGGAAAAAACTTGCTCTAGACCGAGAAAACCGCCATCTATCAAAAAGTGGCCAAAATCACTCACCTTCGTTTTTCCTAGATTAGATGCTTCCCTCCTTTATCATTTGTTTGCCACAGGGAACAATTTTCATCTGACAGGTGGGGCAAATTAAATGACTATATTTTTAGCAATTGTTCAGACTTATTTTAAAACAGAGTACGGTATCGGGTAAAGCAAACAAAGCATCTACATTTATAGAAATAAAACTTTTTAAATAAAAATTTCTCTGTATCTCAAAATTTCGAAAATACGACATGAACAAAACTCAACATTACTCGCCAACTCGTTTTTTGTACAAGTCATACGACTCTCTTATTTCTCGTTGCAATGATCAATCATTCTAAATCTTATCTTATTTCATATGTTGACTGATAGTATCATACACGTAATCATTTAAGATATTTATATTAAAACTGTTTGGTGCACAGCTGTTCTTATTAATACAGTCAGAGAAATGTTCTTCGCATCGTACCTGCGAATATTTGACGATGTGAGGACTGCCAAGCAGCACAAACAGCACTAGAAAGTCCTGAGGCCATGCTCCAGGAGTAAACTATTTTTTCTACATGCGTAAAGAACTTTCTCCCATAAGTGACAAGTACGTCTGATAATACTGCTGTTGGTACTATCTCGTTAAAGGTTAAACCTATCCTCATCCAGGTGTTTCTCTTCCGACAACTTACTGATAAGCCACTATCGATATGATTACATTCAGTGATTTTATTTATGATGTTAACAGTCAACATATGAAATCAGATAAGATTTAGAATGACCGATCGTTGCAACGAGAAATTGTGAGAGCCGTATGACTTGTACAAAAAACGAGCTGGCGAGTAATGTCGAGTTTTGTTCATGTCGTATTTTCGAAATTTTGAGATACAGAGAAACTTTTATTTAAAAAGTTATATTTCTATAAATGTAGATGCTTTGTTTGCTTTACCCGATACCGTACTCTGTTTTAAAATAAGTCTGAACAATTGCTAAAAATGTACTGACAAAAACGGATCATTTAATCTGCCCCACCAGTCAGTTTGATCTCTCAACCGATCTTTTCCAGACATTTTAGACTCCGGTTTAAGATTCAAATTTTAGCATTTTAGTGACAAGTTTTTACACTTTTCTCATTTACATTCAGTTTGACAGGTTGTCCCTCGGAATACTCACTTCTCCATCTCAATCCTTTGAATGAGCTGTTGGCAGGTGGGTCGTTTGTCAGGTTCTTGACTCCATGCATTTGAGATTATGGACGCAAAAGTAGACGGAACATCAGTTGGGATATCGAGCCGGTTTCCAACACTGACACTTTGTAGAATGATCGCATCATCGACCTCATCATATGGCACACACCTGGTAGCCACTTCCCAAAAGACAACACCCAAACTGTAGACATCACTGGCTGTCGACGGTTTGCCTAACTTCAGAAGTTCAGGTGCTTTCCATCGGAGTGTACCCGCCGCTGTTTGATGCTCACTGAACGAAGCCGATTGTCGACTTGTCTCGGATCGAATTTTGGCCAAGCCAAAATCGCAAACCTTAACGAGATACCCATCAGATGCGATTTCCATTAGGAAGTTGAACGATTTGATGTCCCTGTGGAGGATCGACATCATATGCAGGTAGTTGATACCTTTCGCCATCTGAAGTGCAATTGACCAGCGATTGGCCCAAGAGAGAACTCGTTCCTTCTTCTGTAACACGTCGAAGAGTGATCCGAGTGACATGTATTCAACGACGAGCGCGTAATAGTTAGGCTCCATGCAAGCGCCTAAGACGCCGAGCACATGTTCATAGCGGCTCTTGTACATGGTGGCAATTTCATTCAAGAAACCCTGTTTCACTGTGTCCGTCAGATGAGTTATACGAACAATTTTGATGGCTACACAATGATGTCGACTGAGCCATTTACCGAGATAAACATCAGCGAAAGCTCCTTGACCAATTCGCTCTTGATACGTTAGATCGTAACACGGAATATGAAGAAAAAGTTTTGCCTCATCGTCTATTTTTTTTGCTTCCACAGTGCTCTGAGCTTTCAGCACATCTTGTCGGAGATGAAATTTGAATGAATCAGATCGTCGTTTGAACTCATCTTTCATGACCTTCAATTTATAGGTTTGAATCAGCGAGTCAATGCCATTGTTACTATTCTCAAAAGCGTTCCGATTTCCCATTTCGACCGAATTGAATTGAAGCGAGCCTTACAAAGTTTGAATGAAACGTTGCAACAAAGTACCAGTTTTGTGAGAAAATTGACTGATGCCTCCTTTCTCGACCAATACTGGAATAATGCAGAACACCAAGAACAATTTGAAATACTCAACGCACAATTATCTTGTAATTCTGTCGAT